CTGGGTCCTACCTGCACTATCCTATCGCTTTATCCTCGGAATGGATTTTTGGAAATCCATGGAGTTGGTTCCGGACCTAATACAAGATATATGGCATTTTTCCGATAAGATGAAACCACTCTGACACCAGAGCAGCGACTGGCTTTGGATTACTTAGTTGAGCGATAATTTTCCGAGATGTCTGAAGTGCTTGGTCGTTGCAAACGTTGCGGAACACGAAATAGAGCTGTTGCCTGGTACGAAACCTACTAAGCATAGGTACTACCCAGTCTCTCCGATGAGACAGAAGATAATGGATGACGAAATACAAGAAATGTTACGTTTAGGAGTGATTGAACCATCCAAAAGTCCTTGGTCCAGCTCGGTTTGCTTGGCTACTATGGCTCCTATCGCGCCTTTTGCATAGATTTTAGAAAACTAAATGCCGTAACAAAAAAAGACGCGTACCCTTTGCAATACATTTCATCAATCCTGGACCGCCTTAAGAGATGCTGGTTACATCAGTTCTGTGGATATAAAGTCAGCCTTTTGGCAGGTGCCTCTAACTGGAAAATCGAAAGAGTACACAGCCTTTACAGTTCCAGGACGCCCAATATACCAATTCACTCGTATGCCTTTTGGATTGAATAACGCTCCAGCCACTTGACAGAGAATTGTGGATATAGCGTTCTTGGTTATGATTTGGAGGAGCATGGTCTACTTCGACGATATAATCGTCATATCTAGAAACTTCTCGGATAATCTAAGAATTCTTGCCATTGTATTTGACAGACTAAAAGATGCTGGACTTATGATCTCTATAAGAAATGTCATTTTTGCAAACCACAACTTGAATATCTAGGTTATCTGGTCGACGCCTAGACGCTAGGATTGCGCCTGAAAAGGTTAAGGCGATTGTCAACATACCTCCTCCAACGAACGATCACGAAATTAGGAGATTTTGTGGGACAGCGTCTTGATACAGGCGGTTTATTCCCAATTTTTCGTCCGTCATGGCGCCAATAACCTATCTGACTAAAAAGAACATAAGAACTGGACTGAAGACTGCCGGAGATCATTTAATCTTATTAAGGAAGCACTTGTTACTGCTCTTGTTTTGACCTGCCCGAATTTTAGTAGATCTTTTATCTTGCAGACAGATGCGTCCAACTATATGGACTCGGCGCAGGAGTTTGAGGATGGCGAGAAAGTCATATGTTATCTGTCACGATCTTCAACGCGGCAAAAACAAAAGTTGAGCGTCACTGAAAAAGAATGTTTGGCAGTGACATCGGGTGTGAAAAAGCTAAGACATTACCTCGAAGAGCAAAGGTTTACAGTTATCACTGACCACCACTCTCTATTGTATTTGGCAAACTTAAAGGGACGATTAGCACGTTGGTTTTTGCGGTTACAGCCCTACGACTTTGAACGAACTTATTCATAGGAAGGGCAAAAAACATGTTGTTCCCAACTTTTTATCAAGATCCGTTCCTGTTGTTGACATTGATGTCATTCATGTTGATGAAGTTATCAGCAATTATTCGTCTTTCGGCCAAACCAAGGATAAATGATACAAAAACATGTTTTTCAAATTAGAAAAACAGCCTGATGAATTTCCGAATTGCCGAATAGAAAATGGGTTGTTGTACAAACAAATTAAGTCATCCTATCCAGAACTTAGTGATTCAGCTACTTCCTGGAAAATCGTTGTTCCCAAGAACAGACGCCTGGAAGTTTTAAATAGATGTCATTATATCCCAGCTGCCGGACATATGGGAGTTTTTGAAACGTTCTGGAAAGTTGGTGAACGTTATTTCTGGCCTAAAATGAGAGCCGACATTACTCGTTATGTGAGGAGTTGCCAAATCTGTGCTCAGAATAAGGTGAAACAAAAAGCTCCTCTAGGACTTATGGGTGATCGACCTGCAATTAAGGAACCGTGGTGTGCGACCCCACTTTCAGAAACTTGGCAAGATGTTGAATTGGCGAGCAGTGACTTTATAGTTTCTGAGTGGAGACACAGTTTAAAGTGGGTCCTAATTTGCGGGTGGAGAGTAAAACACAGAAATATTGTGGTCAATTAAAATAAAGTTTATTTTATTAAAATAAATAAAGCTTCCAAGTAAAATTTTAATTTACAGTTTGACTCGACTCGCACTCTTGCCTTCACAATTTCTGGCTGAACATAAAAAACTCTACTTATATTCAACAATAATATATTCACTGCTGGCCATACCCAATTACATGGAATTCTTATTGGTTGAAGGAATTTACTTTACTTATAAACATTTAATAAAACTCGAATATTTTCGCGCTGTTATTTCACGTCGTGCTTCTTCTCTCAGTTAATTCGACAACTCTTTCACGCCGTAGTTCTGACTTTCTGGACACAGGACTCTCGATTACTACTTTGTTTCTTGATTACTCAACCGAACACTGGTTTACAGACGTAGCTCTACCCGTCTACTCGCTCTTTCTCGAACACTGATTTTCTCCTGCCAAAGTCGCCTTTTTATATCATTGGTCCCTCCATTGTCTTTAATTTCTTTGTTTTCTCTGACCTCGATTTTTCGTGGTTGAATCATCCGATCAATTAGTGTATTTTGTACCCTTTTAATTAATTATTAAGGGCGTCGCTAAGTGATTTGTTAAGTGGGTATCATCATAGGTATAGGCTCGTGCGTGATTTTTTGATTCTTCTAGGAATTCGGTTCCTTTGGAATGTCAATTGTTGAAAACATCTAAAAAAAGGTCCATGAACTTTTGCTTTATTCACATCCCAATGTATAGGTCAATTATTTTGTTTAATTCCTATTGGCTGGTCATTCTTGAGAGGAAAGGTATCGGCTTTCAATAATTTCTGGATATCGATGTTCAGATAAATTTCAATTGAAGTTTCTGGTTGTACTGTCTGAGTGATGGTCTCTCCTGGGATGGTTGTTTGGTAAGTCCTTGTTATTCTTGATTAAAATTTCTGTAGTCACTACAGTGGCAAAGTATCTATCAGCCTCGATTACATTGGACCCCTACCGAGATCGCGATCGCAAAATATCTATCTCCTTGTTGTAACTGACTATTTTAGCAAGTACCTATACCGTTTTATTTCCATGTCGTTCAGCTAAAGCAAAGTTATTATGTAAATTCGTCGAGGATGGCATTTTCCTAACGTATGGGACGCCGCAATATCTAACCTGTGACAATGGGCCACAGATGAAACCTAAAGAATTAATTTCAAACTCTTTGTGAGTCATGAAACCAGAATTCTCTATACTCCTTCCTACTATCCTAGAGCCAATCCCACAGAACGAGTCAATCGCATTCTAAAAAGAATGATTCGATCTCATGTGCAGTAAGGAAGGACTACCAAATCTGAAATTACTAACCATAGTCCATATTTTATAAATTTTGGACGTGATCATAAGCTGTTTGGTAGTGATTATGAAGAAATCTTCCAGTTGGCAGATAAGACTGATTCTGATCTGGATGGCCTAGTCGAGAAAAGACATCATATCTTTATAAAGTTATATGTTGAGATATTCCAACGAATTGAAGCGTCAGGAGAGCGTAACAAACATCCGATATGACTTACGTAGAAGACCAGTGCAATACGTAGTCGGACAAAAGGTTTGGCGCAAGAATAAAAGTCTCTCGGACACCACCAAAAACTACAGTGCTAAATTAGCTCCGGAATTTTTAGGTCCTTTTACTGTCAAAAGGAGAACTAGTGGTTGGATTTATGAACTTGCTGATGATTATGGCAAATATAAAAGAGAATGGCACGTGCAAGAATTGAAGCCCGTTTATCCACCAGAACCACCCGATATTGATATAAGTTCCGATGGCAAATAGGTAGGTACTTACCTTTTTTCAACAAATGATAAGCTCATTTCTTTTATGATTCTTTTAATTTTTTATTTTTTTTTTTGCTTGCGAGACTTCATATCTGATTGGTAGTTAGTAGTTATTCTTTACTTCCCTACCACTGTTCCTGCTACGCTTAGCAACTTCTACCTTACCGAGTTTAATTGTTCGATTCTTATTTTGCTTTTGATTAAAGGAATACGTATTATTGCGTAATCATTTTTGGGCGTGGCCCCACGTTGGGCGCCAAACAACCAGGATTGTATTATAGGCCAAATACTTCAACTAGGCAACAGCGAAGTAACTTGCCGGCAAATACTACCTGTGTCGATCAACACCACGTTAATACAAGATCTATCCGATGCTCATTTGTATAGCCCTATTTCCTAGGCCTACGAAAGTAACTATATCAACTCGTTGCCCACCAACCAAGATAATGATTCTCAAAGGAGTATTCTTAATCAGTTTACCACCAGGATGCGAATTCAGAATTTCCAGTGAAAACTTCTTGAATGAGAAAACTGTAATCCAAGAAGAACCATCAACACTTTCCAGAATACACATAAGAAACGATGATCGGCAACTTCAAGTGAAGCCTCTGAAACTCTCCCTGGTACCCCTGGATGAACACAAATTAATAAGGGCAGAAGAACACCTCAAACCAATCGAAGCCGAATCGCAATCAACAAGTAACTCTCACTTCTGGATAACACCTTTGTATATTTTAGGCAAGATTCTAGTAATAGTTGTTACAAACTCAAACAAAGATGGAACCTGGAAAGAAAAACGATTTCCAATGGAAGAAACAAGTTCCGAAGAAGAGAAACAAACAGTTTTGTTTGTCCTTTACAAAACTTCATCTGGGAAGGGAAAAATTACGGATCAATGACCTCATATATCCGGAATACCACCGAATATCTATCATTGAACCCATGGCTGCGAGAGAGCGAAGGAGCTCGAAAAATTCTCGACAGCATTTTCTATTCTGAATTCTCAAAAAAAAAAAAAAGTCTCTTGTTGTCAAAACGAGACGAGAATCTTTTGTTTTGACGGCATCATTACTTCTGAGATGACGGTCACATCTTTGGGGTTTTCCAAAGTTCTCGCATCAGGCCCTAATTGGTTACTTTTCTCGGACAAAAATAAATTGTAACAAATCATTTTTCAAATATTTATTTATTAAAACAAAAATACAAATTTTATAAATGAAAAAATTTTACAAAATAAATCCAACAACATTGAAAATTACATTTAAGCTTGAGGGAAGGGTACTTGAATAAATACAAAGCCATCATTATATAAATTATTTCGAAACATTTTGTTTACATACATATATACAAAAAAATCCATCTACTAAAAAGACGTTGCGCGCGAACCCTTAACTTAATGGAGATCTAAGGGTTTAGTTTATCCACAATATGGTACACCATTGTTATATAAAAAAGAAACACAGAGACCCTTCATTATTTTGAGGCCCTTATACATTATAATTAATTCCTAAAGCTGTAGTGTATTTAAAAAAAATACTTATTTATTGTTTTTCACTCTTAATTATTATGACATAGAATTGAATTGCACATAAATTACAAAATTTGTTCGAAAAAAATTAAAGGTTAAATTACACCGAGTTAGCAAAAAGCTTCAAAGCGACAATAAATAATACTATTAATGGAAAATTAATACAAATATAGCCTTAATAATTATAATCTTAATTGCTAAAAATTTTAATTTTTCTTAATCCAGATCAATTCCTAGGATTTTAGATGATCATTTGTGTATGGGGGTTTGATAAGTCAAAATGCAAACATGTCAAAACCCTATAGACACTTTATTCAATATTGTTTGAGTATTTATTTAACTGCTTGTCTGTGAGTATTCACGGCAATTTTATAGTAAAAAAAATCTAAAACTTAAACCTAATATTTCTAAAATATCACAAAATATATTTCATTTTTTTTTTTTTATTTACTTAAAAAGATTCAATGAAATTACAATGTTTTCAGTTCATTTGAACCAATGTAATTTCACTTTATCGAGAAATAATTTCCTAAAAAATCAAAACGCATATTATGGATCTCTTGTTGATTGCAGACTAGAAATAATTTACCTACTTGGCACGCCCAAGTTATATTTTTAAGATTTTGCATCATAGTGTTGCTACAAATTTCACTATATTCGAGATTTTAGGTGAGATTCATAAAAAAGTGTCAATTTAATTGACTTAAATTTGGGGTTTGAGACTCAGCATCTCATTTATAAACTGATGTTTGTTGTGATGACAAAATCCCCCTCATTGGGGCAGAAAAGGTGATCTGCTCGAGGTAAGAATATATCACTAACTAAATTGTAGCAACAATACAATACAAAACCAGTAAGAAGTGCACCTATAATTATTATCCACTAAAAGCAATACTCGATAAATATTCCAAATTAGCAACAGAGTATTACCATGAAAACAAAACGGGGGTTATATCACATTTATTGTCTCATATTGTTTTCGAAAAACCAAAAAAATGAATTTGTTGAATTTCGGTGCGTATTTGTTTCAAAAAATATTATGGCACAAATTGACAATTGGCACCAAAACCCAATTATTATTATTATTAAAAAAGCTTCAAATAACACCGACCCCACTACAATTTACGTATTAATTTTAAAAAAACATTACATTCAATGTACAAGTTAACACCTAAGTATTTTTGTTAAAAAACGTTAAAGCTTTTTTTGGGTACTTTTTCACACACATAATAATTAGGACATTGATAATAATATGCGAAAATGGACAGGTAGGTTTTTCTATTATATCTAAACCCACTTTTTGCTCGTTGATATTTCCAAAATAAAATCATACACAACATCCACCTATATGACCTAATAATATCTATCGCCGTTCAATTAACAGTGAAACCACCATTGCCATCATCATTCTAACAATTTACAATTATCGTAGATGCAAAAATACAAAGACAAAAGGACTTTGTTCCTTTAAAAACACCGTATATATAGACAAGTTGTGCGTTGTCAAAATTTGTTTCAGTCCTAATAATTATTACAACTTTAGACCATTACAAAAGCTTCTTTGCCGCAAAACAAGAACGGATACTGATCGATCATAGTTTGAACGATATCTTCCAAATAGGGACGCATTTGTTCAAAACGTCCCATATCGCTAAACTCTATGGGTAATAGAGTAGGCCACCAACAAATTGCCATATTTTTCGAATCCATGTTGTTCAATTTAGAATTTTCAGTGATTTTAACGAAATGTTGAAACATGAACTTTAGAATAGCGAAATTAATCGGCGGTAATTTGTCAAGCATTTGTCTTAAAGCTAACAACCGACAACTTCTGTCAGCTTTCACTTCCATATTACCCGTAGTTGTCACCATGGGCTTCATACGAGTTCCAGCAATTTCTTCCATTTCCCCAAGCACATTTTCATCAAATAACGGCGGCAAACGTTTGGAAACAAAATCTTTCAAAGCTGTTGCAACAGCATTAACTGGAATGTCTAGCTCGTGTATATCAACATTAGGCTCTTCTTCAAACTTCAAAAACAGCAAGTCAACGTGAGCTCTATTACCTGGAACTCTGTAAATGCCTTCAGAATCCAAACCTTCAGCTTCAATAAACTTGACACACTTCTCCATAAATATAGGAATGTAATTTTTATCAGACTGAATATAGTCGGTGAGTTTTGAAGTAGCTCCACTAGGCAAAACACCTCCGGCTTTTTTATTAGTCTTTTGCTGCCTCTTACGGTCCTTTTCTTCGGCAACTTTACGCAACTTTTCTTCTTTTAATCTCCTTTTTTCCAACTTAGAATCGTCCTTGGCCTTTTGCTTTTCACGTTTCCTCAATAGCTTCTCAATATCACTCGAATCCTTCATTCTAGGAAACACCCCAAACATTGGCGAATTATTATCCCTAGGTGACGAAACATCCAAACTAGATTCTTCGTCGTGCATCAAATAAGAATTCGCTTGACCCGTATATAAGTCCAAAGAATTCAACATATTAAAATTATGGTGGGTGTTTGGCAAATCTGGAATGCGTTTCTTTAAACTCTGGCTACGTTTCTGAGCAAATTTCATTCGGATATCTTGAATGTTGGCAGCAGGAGGAAATTGTTCTGTTTCACTCGCTTCAGAAGAGTCAGAGTTTGACTCGGTGGCTTTATCTTCGCCTTCTACTGAAGGCGAATGCATTGAGGGCATGGTAAATGCACCTAATTGTGGTACCCTCGGAGGTTGAACTGGTATAGCAGTGCGTTTCTTGCGTTGGCGCTTATGGGTGCCACCTTTACGGTTAACTTTCGAGTAAACCTCACTGGCCCTTTGGCGTCGTTCCAAGCTTGACCACTCGCTATCGGAGTCGGAGTAGCTAGGTTGCCCCTTTTCTCGGCGTTGTCTTATCTTGGTTTTACCACTAAGAGCGTCTTGCACTATAGTGTACATATACTCGGAGTCAGGAGGATAAACCATGTCTTTAACCTGGGCATATTCGCAACCTAAATCAACAGGCTCTGGAGTGGCTAGAGGAGCATTTCTGAAATTAACATCGTTCATATTCATTCGAGCAATTGCTTCAGTAACAGCCGAGTAATCTTTCATGTTTAATTTTCCGGGTTGTTTTAAGGTTTGCGAAAGACATTTAGCGCGTGATTTTGACATTGGAACGTGCCTTCTTCCAGTGGTAAAGGCGTGCTGTTGATAGTTGTTCCAAGCACTACCTGGTATTGACATTGGAGGATCTCCATAATTGTCGTCTAAGCTTGTTTGTGACGACATTAGAGATTTTTTGGAGTATCTAGAGCCAATGTTGTCAGGAGGAGCAGGCTCTGGTGGAGTAGCGGGAGGCGGATACACTTGCAATCCCGAATGGTTGTGACGCTTTTTGCCCATAGAACCTTCACTGCCGTACATGTAAATGCTTGAGAACCGATCACTGTGATCGCTGGAGCTCAATTTATCATCGGGCCCGCTTAAGTCGAAGTTTTCACTTTCGCTGCCTTCATTACCAAGTTTTAAGTAATAGCTTTCATTCCTGGGAGGCGGCATTGGACCATGCCTGCCAGATCTAGACCTCTCCAATGTACCCTCGCCACTATCCAACCCAGAAGGTTCTTCCATGTGAAAAGCTTGTTCAATCTCAGGTTTCTTTTCCCATACTTCTTTGAAAAAAGGTGTAAAGAATGCAGTTTTCGGTTGAAGCGTAGCTGAAGATGTCATAAAATGTGCTCCTAGTCTATCTGCTGTTGAATTGCCTTCAGTTATAAGCATTTGACTTAAGTCGTCATTGAAGAATGCAGTAGCGCTACCTGAATCAGTCACAGCCAGTATTTGAATCGGTAAATTGGGAATGTTCATTGAAAAAGCGTTTAAAGTAGCCAAAGAGGCTTTTCTTTTAGTGGAATAAACAAGTATAAACCCGTGGACGAGCTCATCGCGGAATGCATTGGCACCATGAAAAGAGGAAACTATCACTTCAACTTTCCTCTTGGAATCTCCAAGGAAAGTTTCCAAAATGACACTGTGGGGCGATGACAAGAAGCAAAACTGATGATTCAATAGTGGGGATAAAACATTTTCAACCGAGTAAGGATCCCCGCAAAACATGCACATAATTACTCGTATATCAGGCTCTACACATTCAATAACTGATTGGTTGATGTTCAAAAAACCAGCCCTATGATGGATACTTTGGACTAATTGATGCAAAGCATCTGAAACTAATTGCTCCTCACTAATTTGATCCAGGCAAATATCCATAAAAGGACATTGGAGTGAGTCAGCTAAATTTTGCCCATCCTCTTTAAGCCTCAAAACGTCCTTTTCATCTGTAGCAGGATCTTGCAAGTACATCAAAACAATCGGCAAGCCTTGAAACGGCAACTTATCATCCTGCTCCAAATTAGACAACAGCTTCTTTTCCAAACTCTCTCTGATATACTCAAAAGACTCGGGATTTGAATAAACGCAAAAACTTCCATGCGGCACAAATTCAGTAGTTTTAAACGAATTATGAGGCAAACTAACATCTCCACTAATAATCCTGTAATCTAAACTGTAGAATTGACAATCGATTTCGTATTCATCATCATCACACTGGGCACGTATTTTAGATGCCAAATTGTCAGCCAAAGTGTTGAGGCCTAAAATAAGCAAATTCAATTGGTTGTTTTCTGAGCTCATTAGCCATTGATTGCTGTGGTTCCAGGACGAAGGCCTGTGAGCTTTGGTGGCCAAAATTCTTTCAATCAACGAATCCATACAATTAGGAAAGGCAGGACAATGTTCTCTAATTGGATAATGTATAAACCCTAAATGTTGAAATAGAGTCAATTTCCTGTCCTGATCTAATCTGTCTAGGATTTTGTATCTGAAATCCTCTTGTAAAGTGTCAGTGATTTCTTTGATATCGTCCTGAGTGATTGTACCAGTAGGGGCAATACTTTTGAAATGGTAAAACAAGTCAGCATGTTCTAATAATAGTTCTTGGAAGTTGTGCTTAGCATTTTCAATAAGCTCACGTTGATGGGAATCGTAAATTTGTTGGCAATCGTGTTCGGATAATGCTTCAAAACACTCACGTCCCATGAAAAGGACTCTTACTTCACTTAAATGTTTTCCAGGTGTCACATAACCAGTATCTTCGAGGAGTTGTTTGAATTGCTTTTTATACTCCAAGCGTTTTTGTTCTTGTTGCAACACGTTTATGTGGTTTTTGAAAACGGTTTCAGCTTCACTTGTATCTAAAACGTCAAATGGAATTCGGGCTTCATCGGTGTCAGAGCCTACGCATTCGGACCAAGGCATATCTTCGGGGCGTTCGAAAAAATACTGCGAAAAATTTGGATGATTTTTGATGTATTGTTGGATGCTTTGCCAGTCGGTGTCTTGTAAAGTGTTAAAGCCTGGAATCAGGTCATGTAAGACATCCGGAAGCATTTCCATGTATCGAGCAACTTGTTTGGCCATGTTTTCATCTTTGAGCTTCTTTATGTGACGTTTAAATAGACGCTGAGTGCCATCTAAGCCAAATAGTTGCACAAAATGTATCCACTCTTTGTGATTGTTGAGTTTCTTTTGGGTTTGCGACCACAAAGAGTGACAATCTGTCACGTGCACTCTAATTAGACGCATAAAAGCTTCACTGGCAACATCCATTATTTCCTTTCTAGCTAAAGCGGCTTCATTGTATGAAGGTATTTTAATTCTTAGTTTTGTTTTGTCAATGATTTGGGCCAAAAGTAAAAAACCCAAGTCAATATTGACGTTTTCGTGGGCTGAAGTTTCTACTAAGGGAATGTTGCCTTTGTACTCGCTCCTTTGAACTAACCTGTGAGCTTCACGGACGTAAATATCATTGGCTTCGTCGTGTTTTGTAGTAATCATCACTACAGGTTTTTTAGTTTTCACAATGTTGTTTAAAATGGCAGCGCAAAATTCAATTTGCTTTTCGATGCTTCTGCTCGGCACTACACTGACATCAAAAACGCATATAAATCCATCTATGCTTAACCTTCCATCCGGTAACACTTTTTGTTCGTACTCTTTTTCGATTCCCAATTGGTTCTTGCAAATGTACATCAACTTTTCCGCAGATGAAATTTTTGTTGCAGTGCAACGTTTCACGTAAGGTTCCATTTTGCCACCTTTAAATGGCTGAAACGAGGCATCATCTATGAATTCGGTTTGTTCAATTAAACCGAACTGGTAATCGGTACCATCGTCTAAGGATTTGATGGCTTCGCCCCAATACAAAAAGTGATCGTTGTTAACTACGCGACCGCTAAAATCGGACTGGCTCAGCACTGAAATGTGGTCGATGTTGTAGTCTTCGGCATGAGGTCGGATGAAACGGTTGCAAAGACATGATTTGCCTATACCTGCGTGGCCTTTGTCCTTTTCGACGCCTGATAGGCCCACGATGGCGATGTTGATGGTGCGGACCGTGTCGCCTTTACGTGCCATGTTGTCGGATTGATCAGTTAGAACCTGGAAAGAAGAAATATTTATTTTTATTTGGGAGAAATTTCCACTTATTACTATGTATTACTACCATAAACAATTATTATGAAATTAAACTTTGTGTGTGAGTTATATTGTAAGACCCTATATTATCATTATACTAATAATAATTCTCCTTTCCTATGTTAATTATAAGCGTACGCCTCTGTCAAAACTCATAATAATAAAAACTGCTTAAGCAGCGGTACCACCATTCTGCCTACGTAAATGCTGCATCGTCAATTATTTCTTATAAATACAGCGTACAGAGCTTCCTGGAGCTCATTTTATTATTCTTTAGCCAGACTAATAGTAATTAGAGTAGGTTCATTTGTTTTCGACTTTTACGTCGTTGCAATTTGATCCACATATTTTCTTTTGTCACCATTGTATTTTTATTAATAAAATAAATGTTTTTTAAAAATACAAGTTTCTGAATCGAAAATATAATTTGTGTATGTAAAAAAATATTTTCGCACGATCCAAATTATTTTCGTAAATGGTAATAAAACAAACTCCATAATGCAAAATAATGAGTCACATATAATATAAACAAGCCTGCCTGAATGCATCATCAATTAGTTCATACGAACAAAAAGTTGACAAATACAGTGCCATTAAAACAGCAGGAACAAATTGTTTATTTTAGTTAGTTAATGCTACATTTTACTGTCCATTTAATTACCTCCAAAGGTCAATACATAAACAGTGCGAGAGAATTTTTGTGTGTGCGTGTAATGTAAAATTAACCCAGTTTTGTTATTATAATGGACTATAATCACATTTTATTTGTCCACAAAAAGCTTTCAGTCCTTGATGTACCTAATATTGGTTTAATGTTCGTTTTGATTGGAAATCAGATAGATATGGGGGTGATGTTTAGACAAGATAAAATAATTTTGAAATTTTTCCAAATGAAGAAGTTCTACATAAAAAAAAAACTTCAAAAAATTGCATCATCTGTATTAAAATGTTCTCGAAAGTAAAATTGAAGAGAACTTAGAACATTGTTTGTATTCAAAAATAAGATCACTCTACTGTTAACCAGCTTTTTTACTATTTTATATAGATTAAAAAGTAGTGATATGGAACTATAATTAGAGGGATCACCCAAATCTCCACTCTTTTTTAAAATGGAACTACTTTTGTCAGCTTGAGGCATGAAGAAAAGACACCAGACCCCCAAGACAAATTGATTGCCTGAACCAAAACTTTGTCAGGCAAATTTGCAAATATATAATTTTATAGACACACCATCATCCCTAGAGCTTTTTTTATTTTTAAAACCTGATGTGATCTGTTTTAACTCTTCCAGGGTAGTAGGAAAAAAGTAGAAGGAATTATTGACTTGATTTTTGCCTAAATAAACTATAAACGTTGGAAATTGCCAAGAAAATTACTATAAGAATTTGTTTTTGAATTGTTTAATGACCAGAAGATCCTCTCAAAGCAATTTCCTCGGGTCAAACTGCAAAAATTAAATTCAAAACTTCTTGGAAAACGAAAATAAAATTCTAGATAGCTATATAAATTGTCTTGTAGGTATATTCAGTTCAAAATGAAAAATAATATTAGCCGAGAGTGTGACAATAATATCACACGCAAATGTATAGAAAAGATAAACTACGAAAAATTGAAATGCTGCTTGAGCAAGAGTAGTGGGGTAGAATGACATTTTTGACCAGTGTGCCAGGTCTTTTATGGAAAATTTAGAACAAAACATAAAGCTCTCATTAGAATAAAAACATATCAGAAACAAATATGTTTGCATCAAAGCTTGGATATCGGCTGGACTGTTAGCATCCAAAAGAAAAAGCGATAAATTGAAAAAAAAAAAAAAAAATATATATATATATATATATATATATATATATATATATATATATATATATATATATATATATATATATATATATATATATATATATATTATGCTTAAGACCCTACTAATGTTATTTATTTATTAGCAGCATAAATACTTAATAATTTACAATTTTCAATTTGTTGTTAAATAATTATTCTATAATATGTTATAAGTACATATATCATTACTGCTAAAAGTTTTTGGTGTACGATGGTACTACTTTAAGTATAGGGATATGCTCTCTTAATTAATGAAAACATCCAAAATAAATTATTACAGGCAAGTTATAGACAAATATCAGAGTGATTCGCAAAAACTTGGAATCCTATCACAAACATAAATAACCATAATAGAACTAATAATTTGCAAATAAAAAATATTAAAACACATTTTGATGGACAGCTGATATCCAATGATAGAAGTATGGCATGTGAGCTTAATAAGCTTTTTGGTACAATTATAAAGAAACTGGCCAAAAAATATCTTCTACACAGAGCTGTCAGAAAAAAGTATCTTAGTTACTTTAGAGTATCTTAGTTACTTTATAGTATCTAAGAGACTGTATCTTAAATATTTTTTATTTTTTGGCAGAAGTATCTAGTATCTTAGTTACTTTCTAAAAAGAGCTGTAACTTGTGTCTTGAAAAAGTATCCCAAGTAGCACAGAAATATTGTTATTAGACTGAAGTGCTTTATATCCGATTTGTTAGAGCATTTGAAGTAACAGAACTGATTTTTAAGAGGCTCAATAAATACAAATGTATCATGAAAACAAATTTATTTTGTTATTTTGCTATATAGATATTTTCAAGATTAATTTAAATAACAATTTTATAAGTTTGGTGATTAACTTGCTCATAAATATTTATATGACAAGACTTATAAAACTGTTTCTGTTTGAGATAGATATATTTTGTAGTTGCTTTATAGCAATATTCACAAACAGATATACATGATGATGAGTATATACAGGGTGTTTGGCGGAGGGTTAGCCAAACTTGGTGGGCGTATAGATAGGCCTATTTCGAAGATATTTTCTTAATACACTAATGCCCTTAAGGTCCCCGTTTTTTTTATATCATTGCTTTTGTATTATTCTCAAGAATTTTCAAAAATGGACCTTTTAACTTCTGTAACCTTTTAACTTTCTGATATTATCAAGGACCAAAAACACACGCAACAAACGTTTTCATGAATATTTTAAAAAAAGTTACAGAAGTTAAAAGATTGATTTTTAAAAATTCTTGAGAACAAATGATGAAAAAAAATGGAACTTAAGGCCATAATTGTATTTATAAAATATCTTTGAAATGGGCCTATCTATACGCCCACCAAGTCTGGTTAACCCTCCGCCAAACACCCTGTATATACTCAGGACCCTACTAATGTTGTTGCCCGTAATAACTACTTTAAATATAGGGATATGCTCTCTTAATTAATGAAAACATCCCCTTGGAGAAATACATTCATCCATCTACTTGTAAATTCGAAACTAGAAATGAAATGATTTTACTGATAAAAACGCTACAATCCTCAGCATCTAGCAATCATGAGATGACCTCGGAGATGACATTACCCCTAAAATTTCAAAAATGATTCATCAATATGTACTGCATCCACTGTTATATGTTACAAATCTAATCATAAATGGGTGTATTTTATTTTTCCATCTACGTTTAAAAAAAAAAACCACAATTATCCCTATTTATTAAGCTGGTGAAAAGAATTGTATGACTAACTACAGATCTAGGTATATCCCTAACAAGCACCATGATTTTGAAGTTATTTAAAAAATGTATAAAATCAAGACTTATTTCCGAGGGGTCGTATGTTTACAAATGTACAATGATTTCCATATTTGGCAATCACTGATCAATGAATCTCATGTATTTCCATCCCAAAAATTGCGACTGATTGCCAATGTTTTTCAGATAATTTTGTATGATTACTAGGTGATTTCCATGTTTTCTGGGGATTCCTATATCATTCCCAATTGATTAGGTACCTGATTTCCTCAATGATTTCCTATAATCATCTGATTTCAAGTGAATTTTATTACGAAAACGATGTCTAATTGTTAAGTTTCGCATTGATATGTCCAAAATAAAGTCTTTTCTCTTATAAAAACACGTTTCCACTGAAAAATTGACAACTTCTGTATTTGCAAATCTTCCAAAAGTTAACAAATTTTATTTTCATGGTTGTTCACACCCACACTGATTTTGTTGTTGGTACATATAGTTGTTGAGCCCTAAATACCATTGTGTGTCTACACTGCATAATATGGATCTAAAATAATGGATATTTCTTTGATTTCACTAGGATGTTCATCTGAATCAGAGACATCTTCAGTTAGAGTTTCACTCGACAAATTTATTTCTGATTCTGATTCAAATGTGTCTCTACTTCTCGCCCTGCCTAATATCTATTCTACTTTCCCTTTTCAAGTTCTTATTGCCTTGGATTCCTGACTTTTTCTTTTGTGTCTTTCTCAAGGAATTTCCCATAGCCCTTGATACTTGATCGACAAACGTCCCTGCTTCTCTAAAAAGAACCAAATTAAAGTTGAGCCCTGAATAATTTCTTAATTGTAGCGAATCGCAATTGCTAAATCCTGATGTGTGAAAAAATTCGTCGGATTCGAAAGAGATGCAAGATTCATGTTTTCATTTTTATGATCTAAGTTCAACATTGTCTAAAGTATAACAATGTTGTACTTAGACCGTACCGAATTTCATTGGTTGAAAATAGTCAGAAAACTTGTTGGTTGTTGGCGATTTGTATAATTCAAAAACGCTCTGACTGGTTTGTGATTTCTGTGAGAACAGACCTCGGAACAGACATAATCTTCATCTCGTTCTTCTTTTTCTTCTTCAAGTTCTAAACTCTTCATAGTCCCGGGTCAGTTACTGGAAAACTCATTAAGATATCAAATTCATTTCAAATTTTCTAACACTCAATGTTACCTAAAACTTAGTCTCAAAGGCAAATACACAACTGACCAGTACACAAACACAGTATCATTTGGAATGTTATGCAATTTCTGGGTTAGAGATGAGATGATATTCCCAGCGATTACCACATGATTTTCAGCGATTGCCAATGGATTCCTATGAGATTCGCA